TATGCGGCGTCTACGACCAAAGAAATATAAAAGATAGCCCATTTTATTTCGCGAAAAAAACAAAAATGACCTGGTTCGGAAAACTGCCAAAAACGTATGATTTATTTTTAGCCATATTTTCAGAATACATTGCACAATCTCATGTATACAATAATCAAATTCGAAAACTAAAGAAATTAATTAACACTTTTTTCTTAGCTGGGATTTCTGAAGATTTGTTCTGGGACTTAAAAAACCTTCGAACCATTATATTTCATAACAACCGCATTTCTTCGATATCTAATGAACTATTCAAAAATCTGGTGCATATAGTGACATTAGATTTAAGTACAAACCGAATTTCCAAGGTAATATATTATTGTTTTTTAATTTTAGTTAAAGCTGAAAATTCTTTTCTCCACAGATTGGTGAACACGCATTTTCCAAACTTAACAATTTGCGGGAACTCTTACTTGAACAAAATTATCTTTTTCGGATACCTGATAATTTGTTCAACAATTTGAATTCGCTGATTAGGTTGAATTTGTTTTCAAACAATCTTACTACGATCGAGACGAAGGATTTTCAAGGGCTTATAAACTTAAAAAATTTAATGCTCAACAACAACATTCTAAAGGATATTGAAGCCGAGGTTTTCACGCCAGTGAAGAACCTTGAAAAATTGTATGTACAAACTCAATTAACGGCTTTATAGGAAATAATGAGCATTGCCTGCTATGCTTCTCAAATCTATGCAATTACGAATGAGTTCTATTGAATTACTTATGCAAGTAGTTTTTATCGTTATATATATGAAAGTAGATCCGGTCATTTAAGTAACTCCTCTTACCATTTGGCTCTAAGTAACCGCGACGCAAGCCAAACCTGACTTCTAAAGCATTTTGTTGCAAATATTAAAAGTATTGTTTTTTAAAAAATACTTTTTTAACTTATTTGATCTTTTTCCATTTTTGGGCACAGCTTTAATAAAAGCTTGTTTCTAAAAAATCTGCCTTGTATATACTTTATTTAATTTGAGCTTTAAAGTTTTACATTTGGACGATTCACATGGTCTCATAAAATTAAAGGTCCGAAGGAAAATGTAAAAAAATTACACAAGTTGTTTTTTTAATTCCTTTTTATTTGCAATACAACAACAAAATGTTTAATCTCTTGTAAAATTTTACTGTCTTAAAGTTTTATAAGGTGTTAAACATTTTGGGAATCCCCTAATTATCTTGTACCTAACTTTAATCTATGATATCTGACAGTGGTCTTTCTTACTACAGGCATTACAAATTTGCCACCAAGCTATAGTAACCATCGAAAACTTTGTGGTACCGATATGTCTATTTTGTCACGCTGCACTGTGTCAGAAAGCGATCAAAACTGGCCAAAATTCAAAATCTTATAAGATAAATCAGATTGGCTTGAAAAATGCCACTCTCGGGTTTTTAGGGTAGCTAGTTACGAATCTGGAGTCAGGTTGGAAAAATTCAATTTAGTGGCCTTTATTTGGAAAATTGCGCGATTTAGCTTGAAACTTGTTTCTCAGGTTTTGTTGTTGTAGCGGCTACAACAACCCCGCCCAGGACGGTTGGTATCTCAGTCGTTGTCGTCAAGTTCCACTAACGGCAACCCTAGGAAGCGTGCAGCTTCTGAGCCTCCTGTCTGCTTGGGTGGCCACTTCTGTGGCTCCCGATCAGGAACTGCTTGCAGAGCATTATATTGTGCTCCTTTACCGGGAGCATTTGCGCCTCGCCGTGCAGGTGGTGTTCAGGCGACATCAGGAGGCATCCTGTCGCTGACCTGAGTGCGGTGTTCTGTACAGTCTGTAGCTTGGTCCACTGCGTCCTACTAGTCCCTGGCGACCACACTGGCGCTGCGTAGTTCAAAACCGGCCGGCCTATTGCCTTGTATGTTGCCAGCAACGTTTCTTTGTCTTTGCCCCAAGGACTGCCGGCTAGCGACTTGAGGACCTTGTTGCGGCTCTGTACTTTATTGACAATAGCGGTTGAGTGCGCAGAGAAGGAGAGCAGGCTGTCGAATGTTACTCCGAGTATTTTGGGGTTATTCACCGTCGGAATTGGTGTGTCATCGACGTGAATCCCCAGCGGTAGACTTCCTTCGTCCAGGTGTTGTAGGGGTCCCTGATTAAGGATCTGTCTTTCAGTTTCAAATTCAAAATGGCGGATCTAATATGGTGGACGATATGTTGAAAATTAATCAGATCAGCTTCAACCTTATTACTAGGGTTTTTTTTTGGTCGCAGATTAAGGATCTGACATTATAATTTAAAACTTTAAAATGGCGGATCCAGTATGGCGGATGATATTTTAAAAATCTATCGGATTGGCTTGAAACTTGTTACTCAGTTGTTGCTGGGGTCGCTGATTAAAGATCTGACATTACATTTTAAAAATTCGAAATGTCGGATCAATTATGACTAATGTGGCCAACTATTTCATAGCTCTCAAAGAAGTACAGGAACTGGAAACCAAAAATAGTATGAAAGTAATGAGAAAATGGTAAAAGCAGAATATACAAAAATGGTAACAGTGTACCAATTCAACAAATCAGTTTTATTAATTACAAATCTTTACTATATATTAGTCTAAGGCAAGACGCTTATTTCCAGCGATCTACTAATCGTACAAGTCGTGTACCAAATTAAAGTGCTCGATCTGAAACTTTACACAAAAATTTCAGGTTTAAGAATCATTATACCACTTTTGCAATATTTGCACGGAAAAATTTTTAAAGTTTTACATTGAACAAAGCATTGCTACGTTCATTTCAATAGGCAGCAACTGTGCAGCGCTCTGAATATGGAGTAAAAAAAGATGCCCACAGCAACACCTCGAATGAGTGTTTTCGGAGGGCTCCGAAAATATAAAGTGATTTTTTGTTATCTAGTCGGTGAATTAAAAAATAAAATTTCAATCAAGAAGAAACTGATCATCGTTTCCGAATATGCCTGAAAACGGACACCGCAAAAAAAATTGTTAATGTTATGGCAGTTTCAAATGCATTTAATGCGAAAAAAATTACTTTTGTCTGATGCCTAATTTCCACAGGGCATTGAAATGACAAAAAATTGGGGACATTTATACGGCGCTATGTGGAAATGGATTTAATGGCCATGTTTTTTAGGTAACTACAAGAATATTTTTTAATGCCCAAGCTTGTCATTAAAATGTCTGCTATTTAATGTCTAGTGGAAATCCATCATAACTTTAGAACTTTTCAGATGTATTTATTAGAAAATATGCTGGTTTAGGCTAAGAATTGCATAGAGTGGGCGCAAAAAGGTTCCAAACTTAAAAGGAGCGTATTTTAAACAAAATAAAATTTTTTTACTTATTTCGGGATTTTTCCGTTTTTATCTGTTTTTTTTTTACTGAACAATATGTAAATCGCTTTTTTAATTTAGCGTTTTTTCAATAAAAAATAAAAGATCAAAAAACTTTAAAATTAAGAACAGACACAACAATAAACAAACGTGGTACAAAGCTCAATAACAATATTAAAAATAAAATGGTAATAAGGCACAATATCATTAACAAATACAGAGTTTAGGAAGAGCCTGCCTGAAACTATACAATAAAGGAAATGTATATATAGAATTGACAATAACAACCACGCTGTCAAGTTTAAATAGCGGCAATCAGCTGCACTTGATCATAGTGGCTGCATTTCTTTATTCATTCTGAACGTTTGGAATAAGCTTTTTTGTTTATTTATTCTTTAGAACGTTCCTGTTGATATGTTGACATATATTTCAAACGCATTCTGTTTATTCCGGCTGTGAAATGGGATTATCCGGAATGTATAAAGAAACGCAGCCAGTATGTTGAATAAGGAAAGGAATTAGCAACAAGAGTTTAAGGAATGTGCATAGCTCAGTGGTTCGATCCCTGCTGAAGTCTAGAAAAAAAGAAGTCTGATGAGGAGATGTGGTGATCTCCGAAATAGCTGCTATAACTTCTACCGTTTGGACTTAGTTCTATTTTTCCCAATAAACAATCGTGGTACAAAGCTCAATAACAATACTAAGAACAAAATTAAGAACAGTTTGAAAAACAGTAATGCCTCCTTTCCGGTCTATTATCGGAGCACTCCGAAAACACTGCGTCTTGAAGTCCTTCTCACCAAATCATAGGTGAATAGGAGTCTTTGCTTTTTGGGGCAGTAAGATCACTCATTTAAGTAGTCCTAAAGGTGCATTTTTTCATATATATTGAGAATGCCCTTTTCTCTTGCAGGCATGCTCCTTTGGGACTCTTTCGCAGCCTTCCTAGGAACATCAACGCACCGTACAGAGAGTCCTAATTGTGCACCCTGCGGACTCCGCTGGTATGCTGGTAAAAAAAATAACTTAAAAAAAAATCATTGGCGACGAATTGTTTTAAACTCTCGATAAATTTGGGATTATTTCAATTTTCTTTTGCGAGTTAGAGAAGGTCGAGAACTCTTCCCTCACTCAAAAATTAAGATGAGTACAATAAGAGACTATTTTGCGAGATGTAAGTAATCAAAACTACTTGAAAGATTGGGCAATTTCGTGTGCAAAGAATAAGCATTGTACGATAGTTAATAAGAAAATGGTTAATATGTTGGCCGGATAAGAAAATGTTTACTATAGCATCAATACTGTCCTTTCTGAATATCCACAGAAGCAAGTAAGATTCGAAACAGAATTTTTAAACTCTATAACACCTTTTAATTCTTTTTGATTTAGTAGCCATTTGTAATGAAATTTTTCAGTTAGAGCAGTGAAGTGATTGAAATTCATAATTTATGTGTTGGTCTATAAGTGCCATTCTTAATTGAGATGACTAGCCTTTTAAAATTTTCGAATCAGTTAAAGAAAACTCAACTTCAAAGGTAGAACCAAGGCATATCAAACAGGTATTAGAGCAAAAGCCACATTTATGAGTATTTTGTTGTTGCTTCTCTTATCTAAAGTGTCAAAACTGTTCTAATTTTTTTTCTTGTAAGTCAAAGAGTACCATGTGAAATACAAAATAAAAAAAATTAAATTTGGAAAAAAACTGGTGTGCCTTTCTTAATAAATTTTGTTTGCTTCTCGAACAATTGATCCATCAGCGTTTGTGCTGCGGACATGGGCGTAGCCAAATTGTTGCTTATATATTCAAAAATAGTGCCAGGAAATGCTAGCTTAATAGTCTCTTCAAAGTAATTACATTTAAGAGGGGTAAAAACCGGGCAGTAGTCGACAACGAGCGAAAATGGATTGAACGGTAAACTAATAAATAAATTTATAGTCCAATTGTTTATTACTTTATCTTTAGGTTTGTGTCTTCTAAGTGTTCG